GGGAACATTATCCGCCACCAACGTCGCCGATCCCTGGCCACCGGAGCATTGACGCCCTACTCTCTCCCTCTCCTCTGTTACTCGGCTGGAAGGAAAAGAGAAATAGTGTCCAGGGGCATTTTGGTACTTACACCACTCTTTCTTTCTCCGTTTTGGTCGGAAATAATAAAATAATGGGAGAAGTGTCCGGCGGCTAATTATCACTTTTTACAGTGTCCATGAAAAGATTCACAATCTTCGAGTGTCTCACAGCAAATGCCAAAATCTTTCATTGTCTTGTAGCAAATTTTGCCAAATAAAAAATAAGGAAGTTTACAGTTTAGAGTTGCTCACAAGAAGGCAGCATTTGTAAAGTCAAAAACAACTAACCAAACTAGCCCAAAGATTAGATAAGAGGTTAGTAAAAGCTGGAGTACTTAGAGCAGATGCATGTTGTCTCTTGCAACGCTAAACAATTATACTACTACTACTACTTGTGGTGGAAACCGTTGTGATTACTCAATGATTCATGCTTAAGTGATCAAATCGGGAAAGGAGGAATCTTAGCATCATGCTTACGGTAGGTGTTAAAATATATACAATGTGGTAAAGGTGGAGAAACTACAAGAGTAGAGATGAGGAGGAACTGATATCTGAGTTGGTTTGTACTCCCTCCGTTTCAAAATATTTGACACCGTTAACTTTTTAGTACTTGTTTGACCATTCGTCTTATTCAAAAAATTTAAGTAATTATTTATTTTTTTCATATCATTTGATTTATTGTTAAATATACTTTCATGTACACATATAGTTTTATATATTTTATAATTTTTTTAATAAGACGAACGGTCAAACATGTGCTAAAAAGTCAATGGTGACAAATATTTCGAAACGGAGGGAGTATAATATTGCCATCATGCCATGACAGTGGACAATGCTATTATTTGTTAGGGGCTTAGGATCCCATGAACCCTACCAACCAAGCAACCAAATCTTGTGGGGAATTGCAGACCTATCAAGGGCAGTTGTTAAATTAAAGCAAGATCATGCATGCATCTAAGCTTAGTTATAATAAGCTTAAACACCAATCTGAACTTTCAATAGTCCAACCCAGTAGCCAAAAGGAGTCCAACTTTAATTTTTCTTCTTTGCAATTACACAAAAGACACACCACTGCGCTGCGTATCTACACTACCTCAAAACAAGACAAAATATTTCAAGAAATATGATTGACAAACACCTAAATTTAAGAAATAGCAAGTTTCATAAAATACCACTGTACAAACGATCTTGTCTCAAAAATATCATCACTATTAGGATTTTGTCCATTATGTACCATTAAGTGCACTGTTCATCCTATAGCACTTAACGAAATGTTGTTTGGAACCCTAACGACGATGATATTTCTAAGACAAAAGTGCTTGTACAATGGTATTTTATGAAACTCGTACTCAACAATGATATTTCTTGAAATCGAGTTTTTATCATTGGCATTTTTGGATTTTCTCTTTTAAAAAAAGATCGTTATCCCTCCCTTCCCTCCTCCAATGTCTACCCAAAAAATCAACCAACCAAGAGAAAAATATGTAATCCCATGTATTAAAAAACTGCTGGGTGTACCAAACAAATTGCCCAATCTAGAGAAAATACGTGAGAAGAGAAAAAAAAACCACATTCACCAAATCCTATATTTGCAATGCACTGGCACGTGACTAGTGTGCATCAAGAATATAATCCTTTATTACATTATTATTTTTTTGGAAGAAAAAACAAATGTGCACCATGTAGCCACTAATGAGCCTCTATGACATTTGTTTCAAGAGACGAGGTTAAAAGCAGGGATTACATTCTCGTTTTTTAGGTGAAAATCGCTCCTGATCGATTTTGGCCTAGATTCTAATATTTTTCTTTAAACTTTTAAATTTTCCATCACATCAAACTTTTCTACACACAAATTTCTAATTTTTCCGTCACATCGTTTTAATTTCTTTAAACTTTCAATTTTAATGTGGACCTAAACACAGCCTTTACTAAAAAGGATGACTTTCAGTCAACTCCGTACACATTCTAGCTAAAACCGAGTAATCCTTACAAGCCGACAGTCAACGATTTTACAAAAACCGGTCGCTTTAACCAGACTTAAAACCAAATTTATAGAAACATATAGAGTAAAATTCATGCATTCAAAATTTATACTCATGGTGCATGGGCCGTAACCATGGACATCATAATAATTCAAGCTGTTGATCATAAAACCGGAACTTTGGACAGAATCGTGCGTGCACCTTCAGTTCCATCAAGCATCAACCACACAGGCACACAGCAGGGTTATACTGGGAGCAGTGCCATGATCTGACCCGATAGCTGCTGTAGTGCAGCACAGCGGCTCCCTTTCCGGCGTCAATGCGCGCTTTCCACCAACACAGCGAGACAAAAACTTCAAAAGCGTCCGAGGGACTCATTACCCCGTCCCATCATGCACTAGTCCTCTCCTGGAGTAGTCGTGCAGTACTTCTGCCTACTGCAGCTAGGAGTTGTTATTGTATTGGTGTCATGAGAGTTGTTATTGTATTGGAGTCATCTAGGGTATCTACAATGTACTTCAAAACCAGTTCGTAGTTGATTAACCCATAAAATAATACATTCAGAATCACATGTTAAAAGTAGTTCATAGAAGAAATAGCAAAAGTCATCAATAAACATATGGGTTGCCCATATATAATAAAATGTCATTTGTCTATATTTCCTCTCTTATTCTCCTACTACTTGCTACCTATATTGTGAATGCTGTAATAGTTAAAATCTATAACTACTATAACTACTCACCGTTTACCTATATTGTGAGTACTTACTACTTACTGTTTACCGCTATCTTTTACTGTTCGAGGGTTATTATGGTAAACGCGTGGTTACCGCCAGGGTATACTGTGGTTTTAAAATTTGAGAAGGTTATCACACATGTTAACCATACAGTTTTTTAAATCCTAATTAAGAGTGTAAAATTAAAGAACAATTTAAGTTAGTAGAAAATAATTGTGTTACCATTTGATAAAACTAAAATTCTACTATATTTTCTACTATTCCTGATTAAGAGTAGAACGAAGTGTTGTCTTATTGCCAACTAGAGAGAGAAGGGAAGAGACATAGAAGAGCTGACATGTGGGTCCAAGGGTAGTTGTTTGACATTTCACACGATTTCTCTCTCCTCTTCAACCGTAAATTATTATTTTAATCGGCGCGGTTTCCATTGATAAATTATCACGTTTATGGAGTACGTCAGGCAATATCCTACGGCTAAAACCACGAAGTCAAAGTGTCCTATAGCAAAATTTGCATTCCAATAAATACATTTTCAGACAATCAAGTGTTTGGGAGAAAAATCAAATAATTTAAAATTCAAAACAAGTTGGAAAATTTTATTTTTTTAAAAAAAGATAGATTATTACCACGGATTATTTGTTTCGAGCATTCATGGCATATAAAACACAATCTATTTTGACTTTTACATCTTAAATAGAACTAATTTAAGGCTTTTTCTTAGTTTTCTTTTTTTTATTTTCTTTTAAGCTAAAAATATAAATATAAATGTCTTATTCTTGTAAGCCAACATGAAAAATCTTATTCCAACGTTATTATTTTACTATTTTATTTCTGGCACTGTTTATTTTCTAAGGAATGGAACAATGGATTAACGCATATAATTTTTGTGCTTATAAACCGTGTGTTTTTTCATTAACTCTTTATGTATGAGTTTCCAATCAATTTTTCCAACTTTGTAATAGTACCCCTAATTAATCTGATCGTCTGCACCATTAAATAATTGTGAGTAAAGTACATCACCGGTCCCTAAACTTATACCGCTGTGTCATCTCGGTCCCTAAACTCGCAAATCGACAGTTCAGGTCCTTAAACTTGTTCGACTGTGTCATCTCGATCCCTAAACTTGCAGATCACTTGTGTAGGTCCTCCAACTTGTTCAGTTGTGTCACCCCGGTCCCTAAACTTGGATTTGAATATCATCTGGGTCAAATAGGACGGTCTAAAGACTTTATATTTAAAAATAATTCATAACTTTTTCATGTGAACTCTAATGAAGACAAATTTTATATCAAATTTGTAGCCCTCGACGCGGTCTACAACTTTGTAGTTGAATTTTTTTTATTTCAAGTCATTTTTTATCCCAAAATGTAATTTTAAAATTAAAATTTCAAAATCTATAAACATGTAATAATATTTTGGGACCCTAAACAGTTTTAATTAAAAAACTTTTCAACTACAAAGTTGTAGGTTGAGTCGAGGGCTACAATTTTGATATAAAGTTTGTCTTCATTAGAGTTTACATGAAAAAGTTATGAATTTTTTTTGATATAAAGTTTTTAGACCGTCCTATTTAGGGACCGGGGTGACACAACTGAACAAGTTAGAGGACCTAAACGAGTGATCTGCAAGTTTATGGACCGGGATGACGTAGTCGAACAAGTTTGAGTACCTGAACGGTCAATTTACGAGTTTAGAGACCGGGATGACACAGCGGTACAAGTTTAGGGACCGGTGATGTACTTTACTCAATAATTATCACAAATCACTCGTTATTCAACAACACAACCTTCATGTACTACCCCTCCATTATCCACGCGTTAACCATCCAATTTACTACTTGCTTTCCAGTCCAAATTCCAACAATTTGTGGCATTTGGTGGTGACTGAAGATGGACTTAAATGTGTTAAAGTTCGTAGTTAGAAATTGGTGTTGATTTTCTATAGAACGGATGAAGTACTGCGTAGCCATTTGTGACAACAAATATCTTTGGCAACGTTACATTTTTTATGGTTTCCGTTATGCAATTAGTGGTCAAAAAGCATGTCTCATTGACTATGACAACACTACGAGATCTAATGAAACAATTGAATTTGACCTGCAACATCAAAAAAGGGGATTCATCCCCCACCACCAATCAGTCATTACACACAGATAAGAACAGGACAGAACCAAACAGGGATTAAGGCAGACACAGAGCAAGAAACCGTCAAAAAAAATTATATTCACTCAAGGACAGCATAAGATCCTACTAGAACACTACCCCACCTAGGACTCCGATTAGCACATCATCATCATCATTATCCATGCACACCCAGATTAGCTCAAGAACAAAGCTAGTAATCACTGTACTTAGTGGTAGTACTAATTGTCCCTGCATCATCCATTGACATCTCTTCATCAGATCCAAAAAAAAAGGCCACATTTTTGTTTATGAATCTAATCTTTGCTTGGGCCTCACCATTAGAGCAAAAGCTAATTTGCTGCTGCTACTACTACTACTTGCTAGGTTGACTGATGAGTCATTTCATTAGCCATTAGGGTTGGTTAATTAGACAGGAAAAAGGCTACAAAAAAAGAGGAAAAAAAAAAGAAAAGAAAAGAAAGAGACAACCTTGATTCGACTGTGCTACTAGTCTTGATTAAGTCGACTGCGGCGAGCCGCCGCCGCCGCCACTCGCCGTTGCCGCGGCGTGGTCGGCGGCGGCGGCATGCGTGGATGAGCCGTTGATGCTGAAGTCAGTGAGCACTGGTGGTGGGGCGAGTGGCGCGGCGGCGGCGGCGGCGGCGGAGCGGCGGGCGCTGTGGCCGCCGAGGAAGTTGTGCTTGTTGTTGTGCATCCAGACCTTGAAGACGCCCTTGCCGACGCCGATCTCGCGGCAGCACTCGTCGACGACGGCCTCGTCGCGCTTCTGGAGGCGCCACCCGAGCCGCTCCGACAGCGCCTGCATCCGCTGCTTCTGCTCCGGGCTGAACTTGGTCCGGAACCGCTTCCTCGACGCCGACGTCGCGGCGCCCGGCGGAGGCGGGGGCCCCATGGCGGCGGCGGCGGCGTGGGGCCTCGACGCCGCCACGGCCGGGGCGGACGCGGAGCCAAGCGACAGCAGCATGTGCGTCGCGGAGGGGAGGTACCCCGGAGAGAGCACCGGTGGCGGCGCCTGCAGCGGCGAGGCGGAGCGGTCGTCGTCGTAGTCGGACATCTCGGAGTCCTCGGAATCATCATCGTCGGCGGCGGCGTCGTCGTCGTGGTGGTGCCCGGGCCCGCGCACGCGGTCGGTCTCCGGCGACTGCTCGCGACGCTGGTGGCTCCCATGCAGCAGCAGCTGCGGCGCCACCGCCACCGCCGCGGTCCGCGGCAGATGCTGCTGAGGCTGCGGCGGCGGCGGTGGCGGTGGCGGTGGCGGCGGCGGCGGAGGCAGCGCGAGGAGAGGCGGGGAGGGCGGCGCCTCGGGGAGCCGGCGGTGGAAGTTGCGGTGGCACCCACACGCGGCGCACTTGAGCGACGCCGGATCAGCGGCATCCGCCGCCGGCGACGGCATGAACTCCCCGCACCCATCCACCGCGTGCCCGCCCAAGCTCGCCGCGTGATTCTTCAAGCACTCCCTGTACACCGCCGCCGTCGCCGACGCCGGCGTCGCCTTGCTCTTCCCCGCCGCAGCCGCCGCCGCGCCGCCGTTGGGGAACACCACCGGCCTGTACTTGACGCCGACGACGGCCTCCATCGCCAGAGCACGCTCGGTTCTTGAGAGAGAGATCAACTCAGCTCACCGCGCGGGTTTTATCATCCATGGGAGAAGGACAAGGAGAAGGAGGAGGAGAGGAAAACTACAGGTGAGGAGGTGGAGGCGAGGAGATAAGAATAAACCGAGCTAGAAAGAGAGTGAGATAAATAATGGGCCTGTTTGGATCCGGAGGGCTATTTAATAGCCCTCCGGAATCTTATTATTTAGAAGTATTAAACGTTTATTACTGACAAAATCCATTTTATAACCCCTAGGCTATTTTGTGAGACGAATCTAACGAGATATATTAATCTATGATTTGCTACAGTGATGCTATAGTAATCATCTGCTAATTATGGATTAATATACCTCGTTAGATTTGTCTCGCAAAATAGCCTAGGGGTTATGGAATTGGTTTTGTTAGTAATCTACGTTTAATACTCCTAAATAGCAAGATTTCGAAGGGATATTTAATAGCCCGAAGCATCCAAACAAGCCCAATGTTAAGATAGCTGTACCATCTTTTAGGCCCCTTTGATTCATAGGATTAGCAAATGATTTTCATAGGATTTAAATTCCTATGGATTCTTTTCTATATGTCCCTTTGATTCATAGGAATTAAGGGAAACTTTCTATAGGATTGTATTCCTATGCTTCGTATTAGGAAAAATAGCAAGAGACGTGACCTCCTTGTGAACTTTCCTTTGTATTTCCCATGGCACTATCAAAGGACTTCTATTGTCTTTCCTGTGTTTGCTGATTCATGTAGTATTTGAGAAACCTACTACTTCCTCCGTCCTAAAATGAAACCATTTTTAAGGTTGGCACGGTATTAAGAAAGTATATGAGAATGATTGGAGGAAGTGTGTGATTAGTTGAAAAGAGAAAGTAAGTGAAGAAGAATGGTTGTGATTGGTTGAGAGGAGGAGGTAGGTGAAGAAATAGCTTCATTTTGGGACAAGACACTACTAGAAATAGCTATATTTTGGGACGGAGAGAGTACTTTAATTCCTGCATTTTTCCTATTCATATGTTTTTCCTATCCTGCGAATCAAAGGGGCCCTTAACATTATACTTCGCCCCCATTATTTATGGTTTCTATCGTCTATTTTATTTAAAAATTATAAATTTTTAATAACAATAAAAATAGTACTAATAAAATAATTTAAAATAAAACGGACAATTAAACGTTGAACACGAAAACGATAAATACACTTAAAATGGGATGAAGGAATTAGACTTTTCCTTGATTTATGTTTAACTGTTAAACGATATATTTCATAAAAAATTTGTATATATAAGTTAAAATATCAAATAAATTTATTTTTTAAAATTTATAATAATTAAAAGTAATTAATTACGTGCTAATGATTTTTCTTTGTGGATTGTAAATTTATCTTCATCTTCACTGTATTCAAACGGGAACAGTAAACCTGAACGAAAGAAAGAAAGAGAAAAAAAACGGAAGCAGCGAGACGTGACAAGGCGAGAGGGGGAGAGGGTACAAGTGTACAGTGTAGCAGGCCACGTTTTGAGCTGGGAGGCACTGATGAGTCTGAGAATAGGTAGGGGGGAATAGGGGGTCAGAAGAGGCTTTGGCTTTTACTGCAAGGCACAAGTGTGAGAGAGAGGAGGAGGAGTAATAAATTGGGTGCGCGAGATGCTCGTTTGATCATTACTGCTGCTACGGTGATGTTGGCTGGTCAGGATGATGACGCTCACAGGAGGGAGGGAGGAGAGGAGATGAGAGACGGACGGCTGCATCTGCGTGCGTTGCTCTTGCCTCCGAGAATCCGAGATGAATAGTAATACTCCTTCCCCCTCTCCTTTTTCTTGTCTAACTTTAATTATCTATCTTATTTAATTTTTTTATGATAAATATTTTTATTGTTATGAAATGGTAAACACTAAAAATACTTTATACGTAACTTAAGTTTATTGTTTTTAAAAAAGATAATCTAAATAAGATAAACAATTAAAGTTAAAAAAAACTTGAGGTTGTGTTTAAAATGGGCGGAGGAAGTCTGACCAGTGCTAATGCAGCAGGGGGGGGGGGGGGGGGGGACGCGGCGAAAATTCGAACAGATCGCGCCGCATGTGATGCGATGCGATGGTACGTTACGTACGGCTTTGCCTGGTCAGGTGTAGTGGTTGACGCGGAGGAGACACAACAACACGAGTGGGCCGGACTACGGGACGGACGGACGTGTTGTGGTTTGGTTTGGTTTGGTTTGGTCCCAGTGGAACGGAAAGGGGGGGAAGCAGCACGCTGCACTTGTTGCACACGGTTCATCACTTCCTTGCAGTGACGAGACGACTACTACTGTCCTCAGATCGGGTACTCGGTCCACTCCGCAACCGCGACCTGTGAGGCTGTGACGAGCCTCGGCGTACAATTACAAACAAATCGAAGCTAAGCACGTCTTGCTTCCTTCCCCTATGAAAACGCGCCGTGTTTTTTCATCTCTGCTACTACTCCACTACTCCAAGCGGCCCAACCGTGACAAATTGTACGAAACCGTGTAAAATTTATCAAAATTTTAAATTATTTTTAAATTTATTCGAATTTAAGCAAGTGACCGTGGTTTTTTTTCACTGTAACCGCGCGCTTACCGACGGTTTTGCAAACCCTGGGCGGCGTGCTCATCTGCGCGGGCGATTCTTTTTCTTTCGCTTCTCGTCTGCTGCAACGTTTTACTACAAGCCCAACGATATTCGGCCCATTGCCCACGGCACCCGTTCCTTTTACTGGGCCGTGTTGGGCCGTTTTCAACTTTTGTGTACACTGGCTCAAATGGCAAAGGAAAAAAAGACATCCATATTTACTCCCTCGACAATCCGCCTCATATTATCTCCCTGAACGGGTTTCAACAGCGGTTCCATGCACTCCCTCCGTATTTTAATGTATGACGTCGTTGACTTTATAACTAACGTTTGACTACTCGTTTTATTCAAAATTTTTATGTAAATATAAAAATACTTAGGTCATGCTTAAAGAATATTTGATGATAAATCAAGTCACAATAAAATAAATTATAATTACATAATTTTCTTGAATAATACGAAATGTCAAATGTTTATCAAAAAGTCAACGGCGTCATACATATTTTAATATGAAGGGAGTACATAGCAATCCAATCAGCAGGGAAAAAGAAGACGAACGTGGCGCTCACAGTCAGCAACAAAAACAAAGAAAAATTACACTAGAACCCACGTGTAAGTGACAACCTTCATCCCTCCACCTCACCTCCCTCCCTTCCCTCTCCTCACTTCTGTTTCTCCTCTCTTCAGACGCGTCGACGAGGAAGCCTAATGTTGCCGCCACTTTCATCGACGAGGGCATGGCATGGGACCTCGCCGGCCTACTCATGCCAAACAAGGAAGCAGCGGGAAGGCCGACGTCGTCAGCTACGAGGGCGGTGAGGCATTAACGCCATTCTCCCCAACTTGCATAGGTCAAGAGGAAGAGGAAGGAGGAAGAAGCTATCGGTCAAGTCAAAGTACCAAATGAACATTTTATTAGGGCACCCACAATGGTTATCTATAGGCTCTCTACAAGAGATACATGTCAGCATATTTTCCTACTTGGAAGAGATTAAATGAAGAGAGAGAGTAAAGCTATCTACTAACCTGGAGATAGTCTATAGAGAAAAACGAGGCAATGCATTAGAGAGCTATAGATATCCATGTAGACATACCATTGAAGTGGTTTACTATTAATCTAGTCTATTGCTGAGATGTAAATGTTTTATAGATAGCACCTTACTTTACCATTACGGGTGCTCTTAGCACCTTACTTCCTTCGTCTCATTAAAAAATAAACCTAATACATAATATGACGCGTTGTAATCCTACGAATCCGGACAGCATGTGTCTCCTTCGGTCCTAGTACTATCTTCCAAAACACTATGACCAGTTACTCTGTGATTGTCTAGTTTGTTTAATTTGTTTCTTGAGTGAATTACAGTCATTGAAAAAGTAGGTATCATATTTTTTATGTAAGATTTACTATTTCTTAAAATTTATATTAAAAATTTTGGTATCTCTCGAGACCATAAAATATCTCATGTAATTTCTTTGTACCACATGCTCTAGCTTTTGTTAATCTCTTGCAAATCACGATAGATTTGGTTTTTTCCATAGTGTACATGATTGTGCCAGTTCACGTGGATAGTGATGCTGATGCCTACGTCAAAGATGGACTTGACAGACTTAAATACTCTGTCCGTTCTATTTTAAACTATGGATTTTTTTATGTACAAGACTGTCCGTCTTATTTAGAATTTTTATGATATTTTTATTGTTATTAGATAATAAAACATGGATAGTAATTTATATGTGACTTATTTTTTAATTTTTTTTATAGTTTTTAAATAAGACAAACAAACATTGGACACGAAAACCCACAACTGCACTTTAAAATGGGACGGATGAGTTTTTTTTTCGCACAAACATCACCTCTTTGGACATAGTATAAGTGTTAGCACGTCGAAAGGAAATGTTGACGGTTTAGGACCTGTTTGGTACAGCTCCAGCTCTCTCTCTCTCCTAGAGCTGGAGCCCAGCCAAATAGTTTCACTCCACCTAACATCGGAGCGGAGCTTGGTGAAGCGCTCTCACAAAATGAACTAGAGAGATGTAGCTGGGTTTAAGCTATTTTACAACTCCACTTCAGACACAACTATTGTAGCTAAATTTAGGAGTTACAGCTCTACCAAACAGGTCATTATTATGCCAATAAGTATAGTGGAGGTGATTGGTGAGAAGGATAGGGATGGGTTGAGGGGAAGAGACAAATATACTAAGTTTCGGTGAAATTGTTCGGAAAAGTAAAATACTACTTCCGTCCCAAAATAAGTGCAGCCATGGGAATCCGTATCCAACGTTTGACCGTCCGTTTTATTTGAAAAATTTATGAAAAAATTAGTCACACAAAGTACTATTCATGTTTTATCATCTAATAACAATAAAAGTACTAATCATAAAAACATTTTAAATAAGATGAACGGTCAAACGTTAGATATAAATATTGTAAAACTGCACTTATTTTGTGACGGAGGTAGTAGACTTTTTTTTCTAAATCAAAACCACATGATAAATTTAAAACCCCACAGATGCATGTGGTTGGTCTATGTTTCTTTGAGCCGTGTTAGGAGATGCACGCGTGCGTGTATGAATATGAGTGTGGTGTTTAGTATGTGAGCATGTGTTTGTTAAAACAAATTTATAGTGAACAGAAACTCATCGCCATCAAATCACATGCCACAACGAAACTCAATTCCTGACCAAAACAAAGAAGAGAATTCTCAAAATATTCGGTACTAGTTCGTTATTAGAAATGTCAAAGCCAACATTAGTTGGGTGAGCCAAACTTAATTAATTGAGAAGCACTAACCAAATAAATCTTCATGAAGCCGTGTTCCCGGAATACTAGAGTTTTGAACTGACGTCTAATATCAAAACACTGATCCTTAACATGTACTCTATCAAAATGATCTCGAAGTCTCGATATCCTAAGTACACTTTGCTTGTTTTTTAGATGTGCGAATTCCAACTCGGTTGACGACTACTAGGAGAGTACACGGGCTCACAGTTGTGCCGCGAGTATCTGACTGATTTTATCTTGACAAAGTCCGTTGCGATCCCCATATTCCCATCCGATTTTCCCGTCGAGCCCTGCAGAAATCTTTCAACAGAAACAGCGAACTAGTAGTAGATGTCATCAGGGAAAAGAAAATGAAAAAAAGAACAAAAAAAAAAAACAGAACGAAGACAGCGGCATGCATCGCAGCATAGGCCGGTCAAGAAGACGATGGCCCTGACGAGGCGCCTCCTCATCGATCTCTCGTCAAGACGCCGCCTTTTCAACGCCGGCAAATTCTCCACCACGCACAAGAAGAAACCAGTGCTCCATGAAGGTATAAATTTAATTATAATTATTAATGTTGTTGTGTTGGTTAGAGAATATATATATATTTAGTTCCTCTGATCCCTGCCATGATCGAGTTAATCCGTTCTTGGATGACGAATTAACTGACGACCGCGGCTCAATCGATCGATCTGCAGGGAGGGAGCAGGGGTGTTGTTGAAATGGAGCAGCAGCTCGTTTCTTTGATTTGATCTTTGGCAGTAAGTAATTCGGGGTTTGAATTTATTATTTTTGTTTTGGGCGAATTTCATTCCAGCGGTGAGTTTGGCTGGATTCTTGCGCTGCTCGCGCGCGCTGGTGTCGTGGATGGTGGCGGAGAGGAAGATGCAGCCATCGCCGGCGGCGCCGCCGGCGGCGGAGCACCGGAGGCGGGCGCTGCTGCGCTACGTGGTGTTCCTCGCGGTCTCCCTCCTCGCCTTCTCCTGCTGGGCTCTCGTCAGCTCGCGGATCGACGGCGCCGTCCTCGCGGCGACCGCCGGCGGCGAGCATGACGACCACGATGGCATTATTGTTAGAAGCAGCACCCAAGCGGAGATGCCAGCGAGAGGCGGGAACGCGACGTCGCGCGGCGCCGTCGAGGTGGGTGTGGGTACTCCGGCGGCGATGATCACCCGGCAGCCGTCGTCGGGAGAGACGACGACGACGGCGGCGTTGGCGGCGACGTGCGACGCGGAGAGCGCGCTGCTGAGGGTGTACCTCTACGACCTCCCGCCGGAGTTCCACTTCGGCATGCTGGGGTGGGACGGCAAGGCGGCCGGCGCGGCGTGGCCGGACGTGGCCGGCGACCCGCGCGCCGTGCCGCGCTACCCGGGCGGCCTGAACCTGCAGCACAGCGTCGAGTACTGGCTCACCCTGGACATCCTCTCCTCCACCACCTCCGGCGACCACCGCCGCCGCCGTCCGTGCACCGCCGTGAGGGTGACGAACGCGAGCCTTGCCGACGTGTTCCTGGTGCCGTTCTTCGCGTCGCTGAGCTACAACCGGCAGTCGAAGTCGCCGCACGGCGGCCATGGGAGTGGCGGCCGGAGCGACAGGCAGCTGCAGGGCGAGCTGGTGAGGTACCTGGCGAGGCGGGAGGAGTGGCGGCGGTGGGGCGGCGCGGACCACCTCGTCGTGCCGCACCACCCGAACAGCATGATGGACGCCCGGCGGCGGCTCAGCGCCGCCATGTTCGTCCTCTCCGACTTCGGCAGGTACCCGCCGGACGTCGCCAACCTGAGGAAGGACGTGATCGCGCCGTACAAGCACGTCGTCCCCTCCCTCGGCGACGGCGACTCGCCGGGGTTCGAGCAGCGCCCCGTCCTCGCTTACTTCCAGGGCGCCATTCATAGGAAAAATGTAAGTTCGAGAAACACCCAGGGGTCTTCTAGCTAGCTCCATAAGGTGGTGCGCTAGATGACCTGGGTTCGAAGTCTCACCCTTTCTAATTATTTGATATTAGGTCATTTTCCTAATATTCGTGTCTTTTGGAAAGATGTAAGTTCGCCACCAAATCAAACTACTACTTCCTCCACCAAATCAAAGTAGTATTTCCTCCGTTTTTAAATACACGACGCTATTGACTTTTGGAAAATGATTTTTGCTCACACAAAATTTAAAAATTAAATCATAGGAAAGATGTAAGTTTGTCTTCGACTTGAAGCACCATTTCCTCTGGACATGAAAACATATCGTTCTGGAATACTTATTCATGATTTGGAGTTGATTTAAAATCTATGCCCCTGATTGCTACAGTTTCAACTCCAAAAGATTTCTGGAGTTGGGTTTTTTCTAGCTCCAAAAGTAAATTGGAGTTGGAGCTACTGGTAGATTATGGTTAGTAGTGTGAGACATTTTGTTCATATTTTAATTTTAAACCAAAATAAGAGGATTAAGCCACTTCAAACTTTAATTTATAAACTCTATTTTCTACCAGAGTCTAGGGCTCAACCATTGCAAGTTCTTCTAAAGGACTATGGTCAAATATAGGTGGTATAAAACACTGAGTTGCCACTGTCTAAGTGAGTTGCACACTTGCACTGAACTTTTCAGCCAAACTGTAATGTTTTTTTCAGGGTGGAAGGGTTCGTCAGAGGCTGTACCAGCTGATCAAGGACGAGAAGGACGTCCACTTCACCTACGGCAGCGTCCGTCAGAACGGCATCAGGCGCGCCACCAAGGGGATGGCCTCCTCCAAGTTCTGCCTCAACATCGCCGGCGACACCCCCTCCTCCAACCGCCTCTTCGACGCCATCGTCAGCCACTGCGTCCCCGTGATCATCAGCGACGACATCGAGCTCCCCTTCGAGGACGTCCTCGACTACTCCGCCTTCTGCGTGTTCGTCCGCGCCTCCGACGCCGTCAAGAGGGGCTTCCTGCTGCATCTCCTCAGGGGGATCTCCCAGGAAGAATGGACGGCAATGTGGAGGAGGCTGAAGGAGGTTGCACACCACTTCGAGTACCAGTACCCTTCGCAGCCTGGTGACGCTGTTCAGATGATCTGGGGAGCTGTAGCTCGGAAGATGCATTTGGTGAAGCTGCAACTTCACAAGCGTGGTAGATATCAGAGGACATTTTCTGAATCATAAAAGGTTAGGGTAGCAAAGCATGGAGGAGATTCAGAGCTATAGGTTGCAGTTTTTGATCAATAATTTTCATGTGGCTGGTAAAGTTCTATGGTCATTTTGCAATCTAAGTTGCAAGGACTATGTGCAGCCAGTCTTTGTCCAAGAGGTAATTATTAGACAGTTAGTTATAAATTATATTATTCTTATTAGTTCTTTTATCCCCAAAGAAAGAAATAATGATTTGAGGAAATACAGTAATCTACATGATTCAAACAAACATGGCGATAATAAGATGTGATAAGGTTATAAATGTTCAAATTGCACCGATCGCTTTTGATGTTAACCTTATTGTGAACCAGCCAACGGAAAAGAAGCAAACGCAGGATACATGTTGGTGACAGCAATATATTTTGGGAAGCTAAGCTAAAACATGAACATATGGAGATTTCGCATACACTTTTTCATTCAAAACCACACTTGATTACTGCAGTACGTCGTCATTCTTTACCACTAAAAACTTTTTACAGATATATCCATTACGAAATAATTAAGAAACACAAATGAAATAGAAAAGAAGCATCAAACAGACAAGTTTAAAAACAAGTAGAAAGCACCAAAAAACCTTTAGCGCCTCGCATCAACTGATCCATCATATCTTGGATGATGTTCTTGTTGTCTCTGATCCTCCCTACATGATGAAGCATCAATACCTGTTGTGTATTGGATCTGAACCCCTCCGAACCCTTCTTTCACTCATTCTGTTGGGATCAGCTGATGAAGGACTTGCTGAGTACCCGCCCTTGTTGTTGAGATTGGCAGCATTACTTTGAGCAAGCACCCGCGGCTTCTTCTCGGGCACTTCATCCTCTTCCCTTCCGAAGGCAAGACTAATGCCTTTCAAGCCATACACCTTCTGCTGATGAGATAACAGCAACAAGCATAGAAGAACAGTTAGCAGCCTATTGGCAGACAATGCCATTTCCCTTTCCCCTCCAATGCTTTCCCTGTTTTTGTAGGGAAGCCAGCAGCAATTGCTGCTCCTATATATGAGCTGAGAGGGTCCAAAGAAATAGCAGCAGGCAATTTAGATTCTGTCACAATCATATGCATGCCGCTTGAGGGTAATTCAAGGCTGTTTTAGAAGGTTCTGACAGGCATGAATAAAGAGATGGTGACATAAACCTTGGGAAGCTAAGAATCTTTACACCGGTTCCCTGGTCTCCTCCCCTAGTCCCTGTCCTGCACACCAAGCAACCCTTGTAAAGAAGAGAAGTGTTGGGATAGGGCATTTAACAAGCTCAAGAACTATTGCTTTATGCTTTAGAAATTCCCCTTTGAATCAAGAAGCTCCCAACCCCATGCAAACTAACAAGGAACAGAGAAAACATCGATACTTAGTTCATTGTGCTAAATGATCCTTTCTCTTAAGTAGTTGTCCTAAATGATGCCCCCTTTTTTTAAATCTTGTTGATCCATGGATTTTTACCCTCAAACCGAAGTTTCAAAGAACAGCAAACAGAAAAGATCACCCATTGCAACGTCCAATCTTCTTTTCTTCATTCAAGTTTAAGCTGCCTCTTTGCACATTATAATATTATATCGCCCACACACATGATAGCATGCTGCTTGGGGCACTACTAAAGCTCTAATTCTCTTTACTTTAAACAAGAAAAGAAGTGAGTTCGCATGGTGCTGCTTGGTGGAATGCACAGGGTCCTAACCAAGCAATTCCAGCTCGAGGGGCTTTGTTCTTTAACTTTGCACTGAAGAGTAAATAAAGCAGAGAACAAAAAGGAAGAGCAGCCATCCATTGGGTGAGGCCGTGAGGCTGCTTTCTCTCTCTCTCTGCTGATGAGCTGATATTTTATCAGGAGGATAATGCTACCAGTGTTGACGAAATATGTATTAATAAGAGACAAATTGTTCGTTTATTATCTAATACTTTTGTTGCTACAAGGCTTACAACAGAGCTTTCGTTCTCTGAACTTGCTTTTTAATATGAGAAAATCCATGAAATGCCATTGACAAGCATCCTAATCCAAGAAATGCCATCGACGAATGCAACTTCCAGGAAATGCCATTGTACGAGTCATTTTGTCCCAGAAATGCCATCGCCGTCACTACTCTGTCATTTGTACTCCGTTAGATGATGTGTAAAGACTATTTTGCCCTTGATGTATAATGTATATGCAAATTAAGATTTTGGAATTTTCATAGGAAAAACTATACATGAGAAAAATCTCAAAAATTCACCAAATGAAACAGCACTGTTCATAATGTATTTTTTTAATCCGACACATATCCTCAGTCTACAGTGGCTGACAAGTGGGCCAAGGCTTTGATTTACATTTCTGCTGATTTATTTTTCTATGGAAAAATTTTGATAGGCTAATGACAGGTGGGCCCGGCTGCTTGCTCTCCTTTCCCCATCGTCTTCTTCCTCTAGCCGGCTGCAACAGCGTGAGTGGCGACGTGCGGCGCGGCCAGGGTAGGGCGAGGACGGCTCGGCGGCGGCCAGGGGAGGTGCGGAGGAGCTCTGGCGACCTCCCGCCGGTGGCCGTGACGCCCAGATCCACTTGCGCACGTCACCGGCGTCGATCCTCAACGACGTCCAGATCCACTTGCGCACAGCCACCGAGTCCGCCTCAACTTCCACAGTCTCACTTCGTCATTCAAGGTCGTCGTCGGGGAGAGAGAGAGAGAGGAGAGAGGGCCCCCTCACGGTGGTGGAAGGGGAGAAGTCGCCGGGGGCGGGAGCTCGGGGACGGCAGCGGTGGCGGCGGCGGAAGCTCGAGGGCGAGGACGACCGGGGTGCTCCGAGTGAGGACGTGCGCGGGGGTGCGGCAACGGTGTCGATCCTCCTGATAGCCGCCGACGATGGGAGAAGAGGTGGAAGAGGAGTGGTTGAAGTGGAGGGGAGGAAGAGGAGTGGCCGGCGGTGAAGGGGATTTGTCCTAGGTTGAGAAGGGCAATCTGGTCATTTTGACAAAATTAACGGTATCTAACAGAGTAAAAGTGACGGTGATGGCATTTCTGGGACAAAATGGCTCGTACGATGGCATTTCCTGGAAGTTGCGTTCGTCGATGGCATTTCTTGGATTAGTGTGCTTGTCAATGGCATTTCATGGATTTTCTCTTTTAATATTTTGCACAACGTGAGCAGCAGTTGCCTGATGCAATAAGTTCAATATTGGAGGATTTTATCAGCAATCGAATCTAGGCTTTCTCTGAAATAATTTATGATGCAAGCCTGCTAGTGACGAATTATGATGACAAGCACAATGTTGATGCTTTACTGATTACCAAATAGAGCATTATTATCAATGATACAGTGGCATTTCTTCTGCAAAGCACTAAGATCCAAACTGATCGGATTGGATCAGTTCTAAAAGGTATCAGGGCGCATTCAGATCATCATAGGCTAAATTAGAAAATCATCATCAGTGATTACCTCAATCTCCAATGGGACAACCGCAATCAGTCGGCGGCGGCGTCGTCCTCCTCCTCCGTTGCCGCCGCACAAACTCGCGGCTCGCGCGCGGCGGTTTGCCTCCGCCGCCGGAGTAGACCCAGCTAGCGCGTTCCTCTCAGCCGCCACCACCTCCTTCTCTTCGTCGTCCGCGCACTCCTAGACCTCCGCCTCCACCGCCACGGCCAGGAGTTCCATCCGCCGCCCTCCCCCGCGATCCCCGTTGCCCACGCTGACGCATTCCGCCGCCACGCCGACGCCGAGCGCCTGTCCCGTCCGCATCGCCGTCGCGACGGACGAGGAGGAGGAAGCGCAAGTTCGGCGGCGTGTGCTTCCCGAGGAAGCTCTTCGCGGCCGCGGCCGCGGCCGCGGACGCCGGCGCCTCTCCCCTGGCCGGCGCTTCACCGGAGCAAGCGGTCCCACCGGTCAGCGAGGCAGCAGTTGTCCATTGGAGGTAGTTTCTCAGAAAAGCCCCGGATTATCTCGTATTAATGTTTGGCCCGTCAGAATTCGTTCGAGGCCTGAAATTCGTTGATGGGAACTAAATGTGCCACATTTATTTGTGGGCCGAATTTAGTGACAGAAAAGGAAAAAGTACACTGAAGGTCCTTCAACTTGTCATCGAGTTATCCTTCAGATGGTTCTGACCCTAGTTTTATCTGACGTGGCGGCTGAGTCAGCGTAAGCCCCACATGTCATGGTGCCACATCGCCACATCAGCACCCTCCCTCTTTCCCCTCCTCTCCCTCCTCTCTCTCTCTCATACTCTTCTCCCCTCGAGGAGCACGGCCAGCACGGGAGGAGTGCCGGCGCGGCAGGCGCGTCCGGTGGCCGGTCAGGGAAGAGGGCCGGCGCAGCCTTCGGTGGCGGGGAGGAGGCCGGTGCGACGGGCAGCGGGCGGTAGCCGGCGAGGGAGGAGCGCGGCTGAGAGGAGGGCTGGTGCGACGGGCGGCAGTCCGCGACACGGAGCACGACGACGACTCGGGTTCCTCCCGTTGGCCCTATCCCAGCCGCTGCTCGGAGCCGCTCGCCCGCCACGCCCCCCGCCCCTTTGCTTCGCTTCCCCCACCTCTGCTCCGCCCGCGCACGAAGCCACCGACGACGATGAGCCCGAGCGGCGCGGAGTCGTCGGCGCTGCCGCTCCCCATCCGCAGCCGCGCTCACCTGTCGCCGCCGCCTCTCCACAGCCGCACTCTCCCACCGACGCCTGCACTGGGACGGGGCGTAGGAGGTCGATGAAGACGAACGGACGGCAGATTTTGCACCTGTACATCTTCATGGGAACGAACCATGAATGTAGACGCCTCTTCACTGTTGATCCGTTCGTCGTCAAAATTCAATCTAGTTAAGCAAGTCAATTCATACTGTAACAACATAATTTCTGACAAGAAACTGAATTTCTTGTTTCTGCAAATGCAAGCACAATAAATTTTGTTCAATTCATCCATTTGAAACAAGAAGATGTGGAAAATTTATCATTACCTTAGTTTCAGTTGTGCAATTCCAAAACAGTCTATAACAAAACAACCCAAATACACAACGTTTTAAACACGTACTTCCTCCGTTTTATAATGTAATTTATTTTAGCATTTTCCACATTCATATTGATGTCAATGAATCTAGATATATCTCTCTAGATTCATTTACATCAATATAAATATGAAAAATGATAGAATGACTTACATTATAAAACGGAGGGAGTGAATGCTATGCATGTTAGTAACTTCGGAGTTTTAGACAAGTAACTGATTTTTTTCTGCCTGCGCAAATGCAAATGCAAGTTCACTGATTCAGATTAAAGTTCGCAGGAGCAGCAGCAGGAGCAAGCCCTGGAGAACGGCAAGGCAAGGCAACGCGGCTGCGACGACGCGCCCACGAGTAGTGGTGTAGCGCGGAGACGAACCTGTCCATGAAGCGCCCGTGGCCGCCGCCGGCGGCGCCGTCGTCCCCGGCCGCGTCGAACATGGCGTGGCGCAGCCAGTGCACCGCTACCGCCTCCCCCGGCCTCCTTCTGGGCATGTCGGCAACCGCGTCGGCGTCTCCCGGTCGCTTCGTGACGGCGCGGCGGCGGCGGCGGCACCCTCCGCCATGCACTCGCCCGCTGCCGCTCTGCTCCGCCGGCCGCCGCGCGCTCGCACGCTGCCTCCGCCGGCTGCCGCTGCCGCCCGCTGCTACTCCCCGCGGCAAAGAGAAGAAAAAAAAAGAGAAAAAAGAAAGGGGAAAGACAGGATGCGAGCGTCGTCGCCGCCGCCGCGCGCTCGCACGCCACCTCCGCTGGCCACCACTCAGCCCCGCGTTGCCCGTAGCCGCCATCACCACAGAGAATGGAGAGAGAGAGATGAGGAAGGGAGAGAAGAGAGCAAAAGAAAGAGGAGGCTGATTTGGCATCCGACTTAGCCGCCATGTCGGATAAAACCGGAGTCAAACCCACTAAAGGATCTCAAATGAACGGTTTTTGTTAGTTGAGGGTCTCACAGTATCTGGTTTTATGTTTGGGGGACGATTTTGTAACTCCATGACAAGTTGAGGGACCTTCGGTGTACTTTTTCCGACAGAAAAAAGGAGGGTTAAATTCGATGGTGGGCCGAATTTGTCAGCGATAATTAGGTGGTCCAAATTCGTAGCTGCGCCGAATTCGTTGATGGAAATTACGTGGGGTAAATATACTCTTGGGATCGAATTCGTTGACATGAATTCAGTGGGGTCAAATTTGCCCTTGGGTTGAATTTGTTGGGAGAATTAAGTGGTCCAAATTCGTGGGCTAACTTCGTTGAGGTGTGAAGATTAGATTGTGGGCGAAGTTCGTCCATTAATATTTTTGGGCCAATTTACTTTTGGGCTGACTTCATTGACGGGAAATATGGGCCGATTTTATTTGTGGCCGTGGTTAACCGAATTTTTTAAGGGAATTTCATGGGCTGAATTCAGTCATGGTTTTTGGTGGGCCAAATTTATTGATGAGAAATTAGTGGGCCGAATTCGATTGTGGACTGAATTTGTCGACATGAATTAAGGTGGCCGAATTTGTTGAAGGGAAATTCGTGCGCGAGTTCACCGTTTCGTGCAGGCGATGATCGCCGGCGAAGTTGGGGTGGATCGCCTACTCGCCTGGACGGTGCTCAATAAACCAACTCAACCGAATGCCAAATGAAGCTGATAAATCAACGTAGACAACTTTGCAACCAGGAAACCAAATGAATGTAGATGGATAATTGATTCTTGAAGGGAGTCGTCATGGGTTAGGATCATCTACTATAATGTTACTACCACCACCATCACTGGTACGTGGGTTCCACTCTGCTATTATCCCACATGTCAGTGTCTATAATAATAGCGACATTATGGTAGAGGATATAAACCCGAGTCGTCGACTAGTTTTCAGTGAAGACACGAAAGAGAAACGTCATTTTGGGCTCGTGTACAATTTTAGTTGCATCCTTGATCTGTTGTATCTAAGACACCACAATTAGGCAACTTAATCTCTCAAAACATGTTCATTTGATCGCACATCTGAAGAACATCTCTGCAGTTGTGCTTGCCTGCCCAGTGATGTACCCCCTCCGTCAAAAAAAAAAAAAAACCAATCCTAATTACAAACCTGGACATATGCGTGTCTAGGTTCGTAGCTAGGGTTTGTCTTTTTTTGAATGGAGTAGTAGCTTGCAGCAGGATGGACGGCCAGGAACTTCACCAGACCGGCTATCTCTTCCGGCTTGCCAAACCGGCCTGAATTTTGCATTAGAGATAGCAGAAGCAGAAACAGCAAAACCAAATCAAAATTCAGAGTTTCTTCTTCAGAAACAGTTCAGAGAACACTGCTACTACAAGAACCGTGGCTAGACTCCAGAGTGAGAACTGAGAATCTGATGTACACCGTAGTTATGGCTTTGGAGTTTGAATAATCACATTGATCCATGAAATTTTTCTTGCAAACAAGTGTTATAACAGCATCACTATTGTGTTGACTATCTTCTAGGCTAGTTCGTGCTGTAGTGTGATTGTGTGAAGCACATCACCGAAAGAATAGCAAATCATCTCGAGCTGGAACCTTCAAAGAATTGATCAATGGAAATCAGGCTGGCCAGTGGACGTTAGGCAACGGTGCCACATCCTGCTATTAGGGTTCACGCGCTTCGGTACTGTTATGACTTCTGTGATGGGGAGGTAGACGTAGTGCGTGTTGCAGATGCAAGAAGTGATGCCACTGAACCCAGCAAATGCTCCATGGACCTGCAGGCACCATCATGCAGTTTTCATTTAACCAACCATATGACATGGGCAGCAATGCTACCTCTAGTCCTCCACACTTCGAAAGATAGATGTCAGAGGCCTGCATGCCTGAAGCGACTTACAGCATTTTGTCCAAGTACAGTGCACAAAATTGCATCAGATGCATTGGCACGACATGCCCGAACCATATATGTCGGATCAATGTATTTTACATCAGCAGGAACACCAATGTCCTTGAAATGCATCTTAATCTGAAAATTGTAACTGATGTTATCTATTATGATGGTATGATTGACAATACAGAAAAGAAACGTGGGAAGACAAAAGCAGGGAAGCCTTGGGTTCAACTATCTAAATAGAACTGAACTACTACGAATGTACAGAAAAAGCAAATGAGACGGTAAGGCAAACCTATTTTAACAACAAAATGTGGCACAACCATGCGCTTCTAAAACTACAGCATCAGAGCACAAAGTAAAAGAGGGTTATCGCATACACACCTTCTGTTGCATATGAACACCGATGTCACTAAGTATCACATTTCCAGATGCATCTGTTGCACCTGATTTTTGTAAACTCCTGTAATGAACGTAGAATAACTAAATCATAGGCTCTCGACTCACGTGCTTCCAGCTGTATCTGGAACAAAAGTAGCCAAAAAGTCATGAAGAAATCACTCTGAAGTTTAGCTTACTTGTCCTGCAGCTTCAGCAACACAAACAACACAGAATCCTTTGGTCTTTAACAAATGCTCAAGGTGTCGTAGAACACCATATTCTCCATCAAGCGTGAAAGGAACCTTCATTCATATTAGTAAGCTTTTATCGGTAGATCGTACATAAGAGAATTGGTAGTCTCAAACATAATACAGTGTAATGTTTACACACCTCTGGTATTAAACAGACATCAACCTGCCCACTTGAAAGGGAAGCATGCATTGCAATGAAGCCACTGCTTCTTCCCATTAATTTGACCAAACCAATGCCATGGTATGCGCTTCGTGCCTAATTATAGTAGTGATTTATTCCCTTGAACTTTCATCTCTACAACTGATTTGAAAAGCTTAACACACAATTAATATCAGTAATTTAACTTACCTCTATATATGCAGAATTAATGGCCCGCTGAGCTTCTTCAACAGCCGTATCGAAACCAAATGTTTTGTCCATCAAAAGTATATCATTGTCGATGGTCTTTGGAACTGCTACAACTGAAACTTTTAGCTTTCTCTTCCGGCACTGCAATTGTGGAGAAAAATGAATATAATTTTTTTTTATAACAAAGAAGGATGAACACGGAATATGTTATGCAAATTCTTCTGTACATAGGTACATTGGCCTCTGTTTTAGTTTGCACGTAAAAGAAGGCCTAATGAGTCCTGAAAGATTTACTGGGAAATAAAAATTGAATGATGAAGTGAATGAAAATTAAAGACATAAAACCTCTTCATGGATAGCATTTGCTCCTGCATGGGTACCATTTCCTCCAAGCACGAAAAGCATATCAATTCTTCTGGCCTACAATAATCAGATAATAATTTTGAAAACAGTTCAGCCTCCCTCAAAGAGAGGAATAACAAATACAGCATCAAACCTTGCAGTGCAGAGTGCTTACCTGTATACTATCTACAATCTCACTAGTTTTAGCTCCTCCACGAGAGACTCCTAGAAAACTTCCACCAGCAAGATTTATGTTCTCCACCAGATGACGTGAAAGCTGGATGATGCTATCAAATGAAATTTGAAAAAAAATTGGGGAGTAGTGAGTTTTTGACAATTATGAATATAGAAAAGTATCTTACTGGCATTTCTTTTAGGCCCTTTTCAAAAAATCCACGATAACCAAATGGAATCCCAACAATATTCTTAACCCCATAGGTCTCTAGAGTGAATACTATCTGCAAACGCGGAAAAAACGATTTGTAAGTCATACATGCAACATTATTTCTTGCTAAAAATTGCAGAAGGAATCAGCACATATTCTAGGCATAAGTAAAAAATACCAGTTGAAATCAAAGTACATAATAGACTACAGAGCATAGTTCTAAAAACAGCATGGGGATTTCGAATGAAAGGAATGTTCATATTTCTGATTCAAGGTCAAGGGACACACAGAAATACAGTATCATAAAGTGGTGCATTTTTACCCACTTTTATCTTCACAATCTGCATTTTTAAAAAACCAATGTTTGATGTGTAACCACCTGTACATGAAGTGCAATTAATTATTTGGTGTTTTGATTTTCTTTGCAGCTAAGTGCAGCAATTAGACATTGCCAAGAAAAAGTGAAGCAATTAGAGGGTATTGACTATTGCTGATAATTCATATGCATGCTTCATAACCCTAATCCCAAAATGGATGTAGCTACCAGAATTCATATCAAATGTTTGAGGTAGCAGTATGAGCAATTCAAAGATGTTTGAACAATGCTAAAAGACAATGACCTGTCTGATGACATCGTTCAAACCAGGGCAGAGCCCTCCACAAGTAACTATGGCAGCTTTTACTTCCTCTGGTTCATAGTATATCTCCTTACGAGGGCCTGCACGATGTACCCTACATAAAACTATTTATCAACGCCTTACCATTTAAGAATATAACGAATTAAGTCTAATAAACAATTAACAACTGCTAAACGCTGAAGGTGGAAACTGATATGATGTAATACGTAATCAAATATTTGAAGAAACAATGTATATTAGCAGAATCGAAAGAGCTACTAACTCATAAGTGATGAGAAATATACCATTGTTCCACCCAGCTACAGTCAGGATCAATGCACTCTGCTCCAGCAGAGTTAGGCGAGGAATACTTTATCACCTAAAAGCAAGCACATTACGTTAAGTGCAAAGCATACACAGCAATGAACAAAAGTAAAGGTGTTCTTTTATGAACTGCATCCTGCTTTAAATACCAAATGTTAGTTGGAGAAAAGTAAGTGCAGATACAGTGGAGTACACTGTAAAACAAAATATAACTCCCTCCATAACCTAATAGAAATTTCAAAATCTGTGCAATCAAACATTTTGAACTTTGATGACTTAGATACAAATCCTACTTAAATTAAACACAAGAAAATTAAAATCTAACACTGCCTGCTAATTTTGCCTGCTTACTGACCTTCAAAAGTGCTCGATCATCGCTGTTCACATAACCATTCCATTTATCCAT